TATCATGGGATTGACGCAGCACCATTTCCCATAACTTTCTCGGTATGACTGTTTGCCAGGTCGTCACTTTCCCATCTCCAGACAAGAATATCATCTTCAAGCTTTAACTGGTCAAAATTGTGCCCAATAGTTCTTTGTCACAGAGCTTAAGCTAGACACCTTCTCCCAAGCAAGTCGCAGAAAACTTGGTTTTAGGAAATCAATTATTGGCTTCAAATCTTGGTCTTTCTCCTGTTCTACTTTAATATCTATACTTGGTTCCACTTCACCATCATTAACTCCTTCAGTCACTTTGACTTTAGCTTGGTGGCACCTGGTTAGTTCAACCTCTCTTTTGCAGCAATGTCTGCACTCATTTTTGCAGGGTCTTTGGCTCAATCTGTCGGCATTTCCATGACATTTTCCTTCTCTGTATTCAATATCATAATTATACTAGTCTCTCTTTCCAATCCAATGTGCCAGTTGTCCCTCTGGGTTCTTTAATGATCTTAACCAGCGTAACGCAGCATGGTCTGTCCTAATGGTAAACCTTGCACCATAGAGGTAAGGATGGAAATATGTCAGACTCTTTATTAAAGCAAGGAGTTCCCTCCATGTTACACAGTAGTTCCTCTCTGGTTGACTCAGGACCCTACTGAAGTAGGCCACCACATGTTCGTTTTCACCAATTCCGACATTACTAGCATCACAATCCAGTATGTAATGCAGTGAGGGATTTGAAAGCTTTAAAAGTGGAGCTGAGGCCAATTTTTCTTTCAATGTCTTGAAAGCAGGCTCGCAAGAAACTGTCCATTCAAACTTCTGGCCATTTTTTTTGTCAAATCATGTAGTGAAGCAGCTATAGTTGCAAAGTCCTTCACAAACTTTCGGTGATAGGTACAGAGTCCCAAGAAACTTGTAAACTCTCTAACATTGTCTGGTGTTGGCTAATCACGCACTGCTTTCACCTTGTCAGGATCAGTTCGCACACCATGCTCACTTACAATGTGACCCAAGTAAAGCACCTCTTTCTGGAACAAGTGGCATTTCTTGGGATGCAGTTTGAGGTTTGCTGCTTTCAAACGCTTGTATACTTCCTCTAGCCGGGACAATTCCTCATCAAACGTTGTTGCAAACACAATGACATCATCCATGTACACTAGGGCTATCCTCCATTGTAGGCCTTCCAGTACTCTTTCCATCAGCCTCTCAAATGTTGCTGGAGCATTACTGAGTCCGAATGGCATCACACAGTTTTGTCAGATACCTTGGTAATAACTAAATGCAGTCTTAGGTTTATCTGCTTCAACCATTTTTACTTGATGGAAATCCAACTTTAAGTCCAGAGTTGAAAACCACCTGGCTCCACTTAGGGCATCAAGAGTATCATCAATTCTTGGCAGTAGGTATGAGTCCTTTTCAGTTATACTGTTAAGAGCCCTGAAGTCCACACAGCAACGTTGGGTCCCATCCTTCTTCTGGACCAGGGGTCACCAAACTACACCCCGCGGGCTGGATCCGGCCCGCGAGGTCAGTTCATCCGGCTCGCCGCTGCACTGTGCCACAAATGAGCTAAAATATAATTATTTATATGGAAATATCATAGATTGTAGATAAGCTTACTATGTAGAAAAATTAAATAAGTGTAAGTAAAATGTCCAAATTTG